CTCCGTTCTTAGGGTACAAGCGCCTTTGCGGGCGCCCGCCGCCTTCCACAGCCTCCGCACGCCGCTTCCCGCAGGTCGGCCTGGCGGGATCAGCAGGGCCACCCTGGGTCTCACCGACGACACCCCAGCGGCTCACTGAGCCGGCGGCCCCACCTTCCTATGGCCTCTAGGTGTCCGCGGAGAACCAGCCCGATGGGGTCTCCGCCCCTTGGTTCAGGGGGGCGCGGCACAGCGCCTGGAGACCCGCACGCTCCTTTCCCCACAGCCGGCCCGCCGGCCCTCTGGGCGCCAAGCTCACGGGCCCCACCCGCATTGGCAGAGGCGGGCCTCCCAGGCATCACTGTTAGCGATGTCCCCTCTTCCCACCTGGCTTTGTTCTCGGCAGAGATGTTCCTGTTTTGACCCAACATCCAGCCCCAAAGCTCGTGATCAATTCTCACTGGCTGCAGCCGGCCGACAGTGAGGCCGTTTGTTCCCGAGGGCTTTCTTCTCTACTGGGAAGGACTTGCACGCATTTTCTCTCTAAGAATTACGACTATGACCTTGCAGTCTCAAGAGATGGTTATTTATGCCTAAAAAAGTATACTTTTCATAATCTAACAATAAAGATTTTTCCCTAAGAAGTAGGTGAAAACACAGCTGACCTTTAAAACTTCACAACTGTCTATTTTCCCGTAAGTAATGTTACCACTGAAGTTTTAAATAATGGAAACATCTCATTAGGAAATGATGACATAACATAATCAAAGGCATGCTTGTTCCCACTGCACAAAAGTTCTTTATCCTACTTAATTTTTTTGTTCTTATCATTGAAATATGTTAGAGATTATCTGGAAGAGCAGTAATCACAAGCAAGAACATGCTGTCTAATCTGAAGGATTTTATCCTAAGAAAATATTAAATACAACTCAGATGAAGAAAAGCTAAATCAAGGTTAGCTAATTTTCCATTGCTAGTAATAGTTTATAAAGTTCTGAGTTCTCTAAATGATTCATACTCAGAGTTGAATTTCCCCTTACCGAAGAAGTAGCTTCTAGTTGTTCAAAGAGCAGAACAAAACAACTTTAACCAAGCAGTCACAATACTCCGGTCCCTGATCTCTTTATTAAGCATTTCCAGACTGGGGATGGAACTAAATCTCCACGAATATTTCTAGTAAAGGCAATGGATGGGAAAGCACGATGGGCATTCAAGTCGCTTACACGTGCGTCCCATTGTTCATTACTCCCCGAAGGAACACGTATTCGTCCTATACACCACCAAAAGTGCTGGTGAAAAAAATAATGCCAGTGAACCTGCTATCTATCATTTTGTTATTGGGGGTGCAGGGCCAAAGCCTGGCAGCTACTTCTAATAGAGACCATGTCTTTAGTAGTAAGATTCTCACCCTCGCCAGACAATTCTCAAGCCTCCCAGGGACCTCACAATGCTTTCAGGGCAGACTGCCGGACACAAAAGTATGGGAGAGACTCTAGGACAAGCACACATTTGTAGTTGCTACAACTGCACATTTTGAAAAGCACAAAGAAGTGGAAGCTCAATGTGTTCAGTGCTGTGATGAGTAATGTGGGTGTGGGTTCATTTTTCCAGCCCAAGTAATATTTTACTATATTATGTCAAGCAAGAATATCCTTGAAACAGAACTAAAAGTTGTGTTAATGACTACTTGGACTAAATTGTGTTAATGTCTAAATTTGACAGACACCAAAATTTAATTCTTTTATGTTTTAAATATTTAAATATTAAATATTGAGATCATTTTAAGAGTTTGATTAGTGTTGCTTAGAGCAGAAATATATGACTTTTTGGGAAGTCATAGAACATCTTTATAAAAAATGTACAGAATCTGAATCAAGCACTAATCAGGACAAACAGCTATCAAAGTAAAACCAGTTTATGGTTAATAATCCATGATCAAGGAAGAGTTATTAGCAACTAACCATAACAACTAACATTTCTTGGGCACTGACTCTGTACCAAGCACTTTTATCTCATTTAATCTCTGTAGTTACCACCCCATTTTAGGACCCTTATTGCACAGGTGAGGAGGCTGAGGCACAGGAAGGTTGGGGCAGGTGGCCCACAAGAGGATAGGCACCTCTGGCTAGAAAGTGGTGGAGCCCCATGATCGAGTGGTTCCACCCCGGCTGCCTTTGTATAATGTTACTACCAATAATGTAAATACTGTGGAGTAACGTTAAGGAGGGAGGTCATAAGGGTTTTCATAAAATTTCCTTTTTTGTTGGTTTGCTATCTAGAGCACGGTAAAACAAATCCACACCACAGTCAGTTTCTTCACAGAGATGGCAAGACCTTTCCAGTTCCCTCTATGTCCCACTCACAGACTACATTTGGGAACAGACAATTCTCGCAGGGTGATTGTATTAGTTTTCTAGGGCTGCCGTTACAGAGTACAAAACCTGGGTGGCTTAGAACAACGAAAAAGTGTTGTCTCAGTTATGGAGGTCAGAAGTTCAAGATCAAGGAGGGCAGGGCTGTGCCCCCTTGGAAGGCGCTTAGGAAGGGTCTGTTCCAGTCCTGTCCTAGTTTCTGCTAGTTCCTTGCCTTTTGGCAGCAGAACTCCAGTCTTCACAAGACATTCTCCCTGGGTGTGTGTCTGTGTCCAAATGTCCCCTTTTATAAGGACGCCAGTTACATTGGATCAGGGCCCATCCTAATGCCCTCATTTTAACTTGATTACCTCTAATAAAGACCCTATCTCCAAATAAGGCCACATCCGGAGGTCCAGGGGGTGGGTGTGGGTAGGGTCCAATATATCTTTTTTAAGGGCCACAACTCAACCTACAACAGCAATGATAACAGTTCAGTTTGGAACCTTGAAGTAAATGAAGAAGATTGAGGAACACTATCAAACAAAATATGAAGTTCATCAAGTTTATCAAGCATCTGAGCCTAACTCACTTTGTAACATGTCTCACAGAACAATAGTGAGCTTAGCACTTTGTGGGGTTAAGATTTCAAAACCTCTGTTTAAGGCTCATAATTAATAACAAAATACTTCATTCATTCATTCAAAATAATATTAAGTGCCAGGCACAATGTAGCAGATAATTTTCATGACTTTTTCTTTTAACCTACCTAGGATTCTATCTGACAAAGGCAAGAGGGAGGAACAGGGGTAGTTCTTAACCATATCTGTAACTGAAATGCTCATCCTGGAAGAACACATTTTATCCTTTTATGTTCATTTCATTCATATCTATATTTTATTGAATAACTATCAGGTTTATTTTAAATTAGCAGATAATTCAAAATGGACTTTTCAATGACTACGGTTTGCTCCCATCCTTAATTACAACTTTTATCATAAAATTATCAATCTCTTTGGGGGAAAAAGATCTGGTAAGGACAAAAGAAATAAGCCCTATGGTCATATTTTTTTCGAAAGTAACAAACAGCACACGAACCAATGCCTACTCTCCCTCATGTGTCAGACTAATGGTTCTTTTATATGTGTTTTGAAAAAAGCTAGACTTCATTTCTGGAGATCAATAAATGAAATTATTCTATGTGTAATATAAAGTACTTTTTAAAAAATACTTGTTTGGCCCAGCTGGGCATGGCTCAGCGGTTGAGCGTTGATCTAGGATCCAGGAAATCAAGGTTCGATTCCCAGTCAGGCCACGTGCCTGGGTTGAGGGCTTGATCCCCAATGTCTCTCTCATCATGAGTGTTTCTATCTCTCTCTCCCTCTCCTTTCCTCTCTCTTAAATCAATAAAGATATATATAAAAAAATAAAAATAAATACTTGTTTGGATATACTTTCTAATGCACATCAAAGAAATCAACAGTTTAAGCAAAAGGAGGGGCCCTGCCCTGGCTGGTGTGGCTCAGTTGGTAGAGTGTTGTCCCATGGACCGAGGGTCATTGGTTGGATTCCTGGTCAGGGCGCATGCCCCAGTTGTGGGCTTGATGCCCAGTGGGGGGCATACAGGAGGCAGCCCATCGATATTCTGCTCTCACACCAATGTTTCTCTCTGTCCTTCTCCCTTCCTCTCTCTCTAAAATTAATAAATACATATTTTTAAAAAAGAAGGGAAGTAAAAAAGCCTGAATGAGCAGTTTAGTGAAGGAAGAATGACGGGCAAAGACACTAAGGGCCTGTGACACTTTATACAAAGCCCATTGCTCAGTTCCTGGCACCCAGTGGGATCAATAAATGCTAGCCCATCATTATGAAAATTTGGGTCATTCAAAATGGAAATGAAACTCTTCCAAGGCTTCTATGTTTCTGTTTACTAAAAATTACAGGTAAAATGTCATATAATTAGAACTGAATTCAAACAATATTGAGACTGCCTATTGGTTATAATAGAGAGAAAATAACATATACTTGTATATCTATGAGAGGCACTTAAACTGTAAATGATCTGATAATAGTAAGGAAAGCACCAAAAGCAGTTCTAGTTCTTTGCAGTAAGAAATTAAAAAAAGAAAATTCCTACTTTGACTAAAGATATAAGACCATTACCATAATTCTCTAACCCCAGGGCAGATAGTCTCAATGCAGGATCAAATTGGAAAGTTTAAATACTAGGCATTTTGTTATTCTATTTAGGTTCATACTGATCTTCGAGGGGAGGAAGCTTAATATTTAAGATTTGGCAGCTCTGCAGCACCAGGGAAGGCTCAGAGCTGTGTACCAGTGAGTTGGCAACAGTATTTTAGGAACCTAGCTGTCTCAGAGACAACACCTAATCCCTAAGTTTATGCATGAGGAAGAAGCACAGGAATTGGAGTCAGGCAGAACTTGGTTTGAATCCTATACCATGAAACAAGTCAAATAACATTCTGAAGACTCTTTCCTCATCTGTAAAATGGGTTTGATACGTTGTGTAGATTAGGGAACACATGCATGCACACACGTATGCACACACATACGCATGCACACCCACTCTCCATCTGGTGGTATCTAACATTCAGCAAATGTTAGAGATACTATTAGGTTAAGCTTTGTTCTAGAACTAAAAGAAAAGTCCTATATTAAAACAGCTCTGGAAACTAATATACAGTAATTGAGGTGCAATATCACCATGGCTTTTCCAGGCCTGGGACTGGATCTGGAATAGTATCCGTATCCATTCAAGGAGTTAGGAAATAACTCTATGGATTAGGGAAGATAAAACTGCAGAATGCAGGGCAAGGAAAGGAAGCATGTGAAGGCAGCTCTGCACTTACGTCGCTCTTCCCTGTGCCTCTCGGTCTCCGCAAAGTACTGGCGGAGCTCCTCCGTGATCTCCATGTTGCTCAGGTCATATTCCACCTCCTCATCTGAGTCGGTCTCCACCTCCTCCTCTGCGGCCCAAGCTTGGTCTTCTCTTGTCCTGCCCTGGGGATGCTGCCCAGACCGTGGAGAAAGTGAATAACCACAGTGGGAGTCCTGGGGGGCCAAGTGATCACCGCAGGACTGAGGGGACACGCCCTTCTTAGCGTGAGAGCTCTGGGGAACACCTCCGGGAGCGAAGTACCAAGGGGAACCGAAATAAGACTCCACGGCCTTCCGATAGGCATTCTGGTGGCTTCGCATCCAAGCCATTGCTTGGTAATAATGTTGCCAGTATCTTGCATATACCGGGTGGTAAGACCAAGGTGTGGTAGTTTCCGATGACGCCTCCTACAAGATAAAGGGAGGTGTCGGCTGGACATCACAATTCATCCTCAAGAGAAACCCCAAATGTCTGACCAACTTATCAACATATAGTTACTGAGTATCTGCTGAAAACCTACTCTACATTAGGGTGCTACTGGGCCAAAGAGGACACCACAGGTCCGTGCCCACTATGGACGCTCACTGTATGTACTTGCTCTGAAGCATGTGTACATGAGGTGCACAAAGGACAATTAGCTTAATGTTACGGCCATAAAGGTGGGACAGAGGCTAATAATGACCATTTTTAGATAAGATTCAGGGAGATAAGAGGACTGGACATCACCTTGGCAACTAGTTCCATGTTAGAAACAGCCTGCCAAGAACCACATGGACTAATGAATGGGATGCTTTCTGGTCCCTCCCTCTCTGCCCCCTAAAAACCTGCTAGCCCACCTTACTCCTCAGTGCCGGGGACAAAAGATGTCGAGCAACGCACCCAGTGGTGCTTTTACTTTTCATTTCTTTCTTTCTTTCTTTTTTTTTCAGTAGATGAGTGGACATTTAGCTGTGGTGCATTTACACCATGGAATACTACGCAGCTGTAAAGAAGAAGAATCTCGTACCCTTTGGGACAGTATGGATGGACCTGGAGGATATTATGCTAAGTGAAATAAGTCAGGCGGCGAAAGACAAACATCACATGATCTCGCTTATACGTGGAATCTAAAGAACTTNACCTAAGGACACGGGCAATGGTGTAGAGAGGGACTGGGAAGGGGAGTGGGATGGGGTGGAATGGGTCACTGGGGAGAAAAAGGGACGTCTGTAATATTTTGAACAATAAAAAAAATTTTAAAAACCCCCCCAGAAAACACTTTTCATTTCTGATGTATTTCTTTGGTCTTCTTCATCATGGAATGAAAACGCCAAGACTTTAAAGACAAAAATTCACCTTTTTCTCTTGCAAATTAAAAAGATCTTACCTTTGCTGCCATCTCTGATTGTGAAAGTCCAAATGGGCACCGAAACTAGGAAAGAACAACCACAGTGCAACATCTGGTCAGCACAGGTATGTAATATTCGTGGCTATTTTGTAGTTTGCCAAGCAGCTGTCTAGAGGGCGCCTCTTCCAAATACTGTGCCTGGTCTTCATACAACTTACCATTACAGGACCCTGGCACCTGGACATGACCTTGTGGTCTGAAAAGGAGGGATCCTCTTACTTATGATTAACTGGCTCAAAGGACACTCCATTTTTCAACTACTGGTTTCCCTATTTTTTTAATCCTTTATTTTTATTTTTCAATTACAGTTTACTTTCAATATTATTTTATATTGGTTTCAGGTGTGCAGCACAGTGGTTAGACAATCATATACTTTACAAAGTGGTCCCCTGATATTTCCAGTACCCACCTGGCACACCGTACATAGTTATCACAATATTACTGACAATACTCCCTATGCTGTACTTTACATCAGCACTATTAAAAGACACAGGATGCCCCTAGTAGCTGGTCACCACTTTAAAATGTAATGACATCTAGAAATTTAACAACAGAACTTGTTTCCCTGTTGAAAGTAAAGTTCATGAAAATTACCTTATAAATAGTAGTCGGTATGTATATAAAAATAATATACAGAGAATAAACTAAAAAATGACAACTATTATATTATTTACCAATCCTTAAGTCATGTCAATGTCTACTTAAATTAAACTTGCATGTCCCTGAGGCTTGAATAGACTACATCTTGCCAACTCACCAGAGACCTTTGTTGGATCTTGGAGCAGCCTCTCTAAATAAGACATCTTGCAGTCTGGGTTGTGCCCTGCACTTTAGGTCTCCTCAATGGGCCTTATTTTGGTTTGGATTGCGATAAGCACCTCTCAGCTGGCGTGTGGCACACCACGCTCTCCCCGTCTAACCACTCTGCCTCTTCGCAGGGGGAGACACTGTTCCATGCAGACTCTCCACCAAGCCACCATGCAGAATGTTTTTCCCAAAGGACTTGCTCTGCCCAGATGTGCTCCTTTCCCCACTACCTAAGCACTTGTGATTTACTGATATGACAGGAAATACCTAAGGTAAAGTTCAATCTGCACCTTTTACAACCTATTTAAAACACTTTTAGTATTTTTCCCTCCTGCTCAGGAGTTCAGAGCTACTAAAATGACAGTCTACACCAGAATGTATTTTAAAAAGTTAAACAAAAACAATACTCTAAAATGCATGAGAATTTAAGCATCTGTGAGACAAAACCACTAACACAATGTGTCGCTGAGCAGTTACTTAGGATGTGAAGCTTGAGAACTCAGATACTGAAGGAGTCCTAATTTTCCTAACTTCACTTAATAACAGAGTAGAATTTAAAAATCTCCAAGTCTTAATAAATAAACTTGACTTATTTTTTAATCTCGAACATATGTTTTGCTCTGAGTAAGGTTGAAAGCTGAGATGTTAAAATGGCCACCTCTTTTAGGATTTAACCCCAAAGAGAACCATTTGTTTTCTTTTTAAATATAATAAGCTTTCAAATAGGGTATTTCCCAGAGGGCTGACATGACCTTCTGTAAATTTATCTTAAACATAACCTGCACTTCCTGTTCACTATTCTAAATTCAGAAATACACACACATATGCAGTGAATGGAAACTGGAAAAAAGTTAACAGATGCAGTGAAAATGTAAGTGCAAATTCAATTCACATTACTTTTAAACTTTAATTGAAAGGTTTAAAACATGAGCCGTTATCTGAAAACCTGGCTAATTGCTATGCGCTTTACAGGCCACTGAAGAAACAGGAAACAGTCAATACAATTCAGGGGCTAACCACCCAGAGAAGTAAAACGAACCCAAAATGAAGTAACAGCAGAAACCAGTGCACACTTGAGTGCTAACTGTAAGGTGCAGCATTTAAGTGCTAATTCCCTCCAGCCAGTTTTCGTCTTTCTGTCACCGATATCAGAATTGCTTTCTGAGAGCCTGCAGCGCATAATGACATTAAAGTGAACTCCATGTGTGTCTTAATCAAATTTGTTTTCTAGATTAACAAGTAGCATAGGAATTAAAATAGAAAAGTTGAGGAGACATCTGCATGTCTTCTGGAGAGTAAGAGTTTTGAATCCAGACTTCTATGCCTTATAAAACGTACTTAGAACCAGATTAATGTGAATATTATTTATCCCAAACTGGGAAGTCTGACAGCCCCAAATAAGTAATAACATTATTGCCACTGAACACTACTGCAGACCTCAGAGAAGCCTGTTTTTATTTAGAATTGGGACAATGCAGCCTGACTTTAAAAGTAGCAGAACCAATATTCTGAAAAGTGTACAAGATGGTGTATGAGAGGCTCCACTTCGCAGAGTGAGAAGTATAGGCAGATGTGATAAAGCAGGCAACTGTTTAAAAAGTTCGAGTGCAATCCATCATGCTCACCAGGCGGCTCAAATGTCAATGGCTGTGATTAAAAAGAAGGGGAGGGAGTGCTGATTTGAAGAGAGATTACTTATTTATGCCTTTAATTCAACAAATAATTTGATAAAAGAGCTGCCACGTTACACTGCCTTAGAGATCACGCAAGGCACATTGACCACTTTTGCAAGAAAGATGCCAGGACAACGAACTGAGATGGCCAAAAAAAGCCACTTTCAGCATTTAAAACAGAAGTAGCTCTGACTCAGCCCAGTGTGCCAATTGTTTATAAAGTATATCAACTAATCAGCTGAAGTGCTAAACTCTTTTAAGACCCAGTTCATTAAGGAAAGGTGAATTTGCATTAATGATGGAACACAGGCAACTCCGTCCTCAATTTCAGTTTGATTACACTTTCTGCACTGGTCGGGACACTAGGACATTTACAATCAGATCTGCTGCCATCCTCCAGCAAGTTCAGAAGCCTGGGGTTGTATGTTGAATATGCTCATTTCACCCTCGGCTTTATTTTCCCTCCTCAAATTCCAAAACCAATGTACCATATCCTTTTACATTTTATTTTTAAGATTCCTAAGACCTTATATAGTCAATTAAAAATAGTTCTTGAGACTGAATGACAAATTAATTAATCTCTCAAAAATCAAATAAGATAAAGTATAGAAAAACATATCTAAAGGAATACCAGCTTGCATAGAACTTTATTATAATTATTATTAGCTCGCTATTTCCAGTATTACTCTTGGTATTTTATATCAGCAATTTTTTTCTGTCAAGGGCCAAATAGTAAATATTTTTGGCTTATGGGCTACCTACAGCCTCTGTCACATACTCTTTATATTCTTCTTTTTTCAATTGAAAAAAACAACCCTTTAAAAATATAAACACCGACCTTAGCTCCTGTGTAGTACACCAAACAAGATGATGATGGCCATCATTTGCCCACCTGATTTACGTGCATACATCACTAAGCTGTACAGACTCTGCCTCAACATGCCGAGCATCCTAACTGTTCCTCACTTTCTACTTGGAAATCGCTGGAGAAACTTCGGATTCTCACCCAAACAAGAGAACTGGGATTATGACCAACAATCTTGGTGACCAGTTCCTAATATTTGGGACAAAATAATCATCTCCATGACTAAGTAAGCAAATTGAACCATTTCTTAAAGATCTACATAGACATTTAAAGATTTAATTAAGGAAAAAAGACCTTAAACTCCTGCAAAACAGTATCGATTGACAGCTTAAAATGCGCATGCTGTGCCATGATTTCCGATGGATCCTCAGAGCTGCTGTGTGCAAGACAGGGACCCAACAACGGCAGGAAGCAGGAGAGTGCCCAGTGCCCACTCACTGGAAGACGGAATGCGTACCATTCTCTGCTGACTGCATGAGTTAGCTCCCAAGGGAAGAGTCTTGTTAACTTTTTAAGGCTGGTTACTCTTTCCACACACAATGCTTAAGAACTTAATAAAAGCACTTGGGTTTCTGAAAGGCCAATATTAAAATAATTCTAGGCATTATAGCAGCACCACCATCAGACACCACTACCATCTCAAAGAAAAGGCAGCTTATGGTTGCAGCAGACTTAGATGCCTTTTCAGTGGTCTTTATCTTTCATTCCCTACTTCCCTGGGAACATCTCCTACTCTATTATAGCACATTTCGTGGACTGAACAGTAACTTTTTTCTAATGGAATGGTGCAGCTGAAAGAAAAGAGATTGGCAATGTCAGGGCAGGCCGGGATCCATAGCACTACCAACCGGGCAGCCCTCCCTAGTGAGTACAATGGCATAATAGTCACCACCCAGCTGAGCCCCGGCAAGCACAGAGGCCGAATTCATTGTCTGTCCTCAACCATTAGAGAAGGAAGGAATAAAAACAGCATTGAGGTCATTCACTGAACACTGCCGAGGCCCACAGGCAAGACAGCGCCTCTGAGTCTTCAACAATATATTTTCCTATAAAGCCTTTCTCACAAAATGCACTCATTCTTCATTGAATCTGCTTATCCTGGAAGATATATTTTTAAATGCATAAATATACATGAATAACAACAGACAAGAGCTTTGTAGTTTTCAATGGATACACTGTGACTACTTCCATCAAGTTATTTGAAATATTCCACAAATAAGTAATGCGGCTTTGTTGAAAGGTAGTGGCATTGTACATCTTCTTTTCATTGCATATTTATACTCTTATAAATATAGGATCTAGGTTGTGTCATAGCAATCAGATAAATAAAATAAAACCAAAAATTCCCCTCAAAATGAAAAATCTGTAACTGGATTTTCCTCTCTATCTTCGGTTTCCACTAGAATTCTGAAAATTAAATACATGAAAACTGATCTGCTTTGATTTTGCATAGAAACACATGCAAAGTCAATCATTAAATTAAGTTATGCTGGTTAAAAACCTAAAAGTCGAACCGTTCTTATAAGGCTCCCACCAGTTTGGTTCTCTGAGCTAATGAGATAATTTCAGCAATCTAATTAGGCCTTCAGTACACTGCTTCAAGGTAGAAGGAAGGGGGGGTGGTGTCTGCTGGAGATTGTTCAAAATAAATGAAGGTGCGGTGAGAAATCTGAATTACATAAATTGAGTCATGCGGTTCTAAAGGAATCCCTGTATATGCAGTAAAACCCTATCGGAATAGATGTCTTCCAATAATGCACACACTGGTAGGAACTTCCTCACGTAAGAGAAATAATAAAATGAGGTTTCTGAGAGCACTGTTTCCTGCCTCCACCCCCAGCTCGGAAGAAGGCTCGCAAGTTCATCTGGCTCCCTCCTGTGGCTTTACATGGCCTCTGCTTAGTGTTTTGGACATCAAAGATGGCTCAAGTCTGAATGGTCTCCTGCCCTCAGAGTCCAAGCTTCATCTTTCAGACACAGGCCTCTCCCAAGTGCGCAGGCTTCTGTGCTCAGTAAGCGCACCCCTTTCCGTGTCTAATGGCCAGTGGTAAAACTGAACGGCGAGGGGCCCACAAAAGGAGTTTTATTTCCTTACTCCCTCAACCCCATGCCCCAGTGTACTGCTCTTTTGGATGTTTCAATAGGTAATGTCACAAAGAAGCATAGCCTGGGGAAGGAGAAAGACTGAAATGATGTACCTAATTCTTCTTTTTAACACAAATAGCATTCTACCAACAGAAAGGCATTGTTTAATTTGTCAGCAAGAGTGATGGATTTGTGAACGGATTTATTTAAAAGTTCACCAAATCCCCATGTGACTAACGTCAGAATCGTAAGTGAAATACGTGGACACCCGAAAACAAAGTTACCCTCTGCCTCATGAACACAATAGGCAATGGGATAGGTGAAAACTGGGATAACTGAGGAAATAATAGCACAACTCATAAGAGGAAATAGATAAAAACTCTTCACTGCAAGGATACCCTTCATACAGTAAAACCTAGTGTTATCATAAAGGAATACGTGTTGAACAGTCAGGTAACACAAGGTAAGAGCCTGCCAGCAAACCCCATGGCTAGTTTAGAGTGGTTAAGACCATCAGTAGATGTCAGGAGCGTTATTTCAAATTTTACTTCTATAAATAGACACATGGTGGGGGTGATTAAAGATGGCAGTGGACTGAGTGGAAGCTATAAGTGACACTCTCCTGGGACCAAACTGGAATTACACCTAAAATACAGAAAAAACACCCTGAATAATCAACTGCAACTGAAGACAAGCTGGAGAGCACCCTCATAACCAAGGAGGAAAAGTGGAGACCACATAGAGACGGGTAGAAGTGCAGAGGCACAAGAGGAGAGGACTGGTTGGACTCCTGCAGGCAGCGGCTGAAGGTCCCGAGGGATATCTTAGCTGTGGGGGCTTCCCACTGAGGACTCTGGGGCCTAAACCCCAGGCTGGGCTTCCCAGCCAAGGGCACCAGAACTGAGAAAGGTGCCCACATAACATCTGGCTGTGAAAAACAGCCGGGTTTCTGTCTTCCAGGGAGAGATGGCTGGAAATGCTGGCACCCTCTTAAAGAGGAAATGCAGAAAGTTTCATGTGCAGCTACTCACCTTGGGCTCCAGCAGAGGAAGGGCAGAGTGGACTGGAGCTGTGTGAGGAGAATCTAGGGTTGTGGGCTCTTGAGACAGAGCTCAGAAGCACCCCACTGGATTCCTGTGCCAAGTCATTCCCTCATACTGCAGAGGCAGACATTTACCTTCCAGGCAGCTTTTGCCTAAGGGGAAAACAATTGCCCCACCCTGCTGGAAAACCTCTTGCCCTACCGGGTAGAGTTTTTACAGCCTGAGGCTCATTAAGAGAATCAGATTAATCAACCTGCAGGCAGAGACAGACTTCAGAGTGCTTTGAGTCTTTGCCTGATCTGCTTCTGGACCTGGGCCTTGAAAAAGCAGACTTTGGTGTGCATCTTAGTCCTGTCCAAAAGAACCCAGCCCCAACAAGTGGACCTCAAGCCATGGGTTGTTGATAGCTCCAAACAAGGTACTCAAGGCCAGTCACACACAGCATCCGACACTGGCCTGCACCAGAGACTGTCCAAAAAGACTGAGAGGCCTAGCAGGCCTACCTAATACATACAAAACAAACCCAAATAGGCAGCTAAAATGGGGAGACCAAAAAAAAAAAAAAAGCCCTAATTTTCTGAAGAAGTCTCCAGAAAAAGAGCTAAATGAAACGGAGTTAAGCAATCTATCAGATATAGAGTTCAGAATACTGATTGTAAGGATGTTCAACAGCATGAAAAAAGATATGAAAATTTCTCTCTGGAGCTTTTGTTTATATACTTTTCCAGCAAAGCAATAAGCAAACATAGGAGATTTGTATACCTTACAGTGAACTTGCCTTCAATTATGCCTATCCAAAGTTACTAACAATCTTTCAAAATACACAGTTTTCTGTTTGCATTGCCATCCCGAAGGGACTGTTAATTTTATAATCTATGTAAGTAAAAATTATATTTTAAAAGTAAATAACCCCAGAAGTCTTATTTGTGTTATTAATCTTTAGTTTGGACTTCCAAGTAATGCTGTTCTGACTTCAGGTGCAAGACAGCTGAATACAGAACCTAGCCTGTGAAACAACTTTAAAAATCATTCCTGAAAAAAAATAAAATTGTTCGGAACCCACTGGTCTGTACCAAGGGACTCTCTTGATTTCAAAGCTAAAAGGTACTTCATTGGTTACTGGTTCAATTCAACTACTGAGGAAGGAAAAGGTCCAAGACATTCTCCACCTCCACAGGTAAGGTGCATTAAAGACCACAGGTGCAAATGTTATCCGAATAACTTCCACCCAAACCCCTGACTTCCCACAGAGGTCAAAGTGCGAGGGAAAGAACGAAAACCCAATTTTTTGAGTAGACGGACCAATATCCTAGACATCCCTCCAAGAATGAGGCTGCCTTGGGCGATCTTCTGTCTAGAAACTGGGCTGGATGGGCAGTCCGAATTCCCCTTCCAGACCCAGCTTAACACAGTGTTACTGGCGTATCAGAATCCCACGGGAAGCTTTAATAAAAATACCGATGCCTGGGCCCTACTTCCGGGGATTCGAATTTAACTTATCTGGGATGGGGGTCCGTGCACCAGAATTCTTAGAAGTCACCAAGTGATTCCGATGCACGTCTGAGCTGAGAGGTTCTGGAACCAGTCCCTTACCACAAATAACCAGCGAGGGTTTAGGAACCTCTTGGGCCTCTGGCCCCACCGTTTCCCGCGGGGTGATAATTAGTACGACAACGTGACTGCCAAGCCCTCGGCTCACGGGGCCTTAGAGGAAGCGGGCTCCACTTCACTCCCCAAAGAATACCCAGCCGTCCCCAGAGTCACCTCGTGGGCTCGTAGCTCGCTGATCCTGGGTGGTGGGAGAGCAGGGACCTATTTCCTGTGGGTGGTGAGTGGGAGGAGCCGTTGCCGGGGCGACTAGACGTCACTTCCGATACGCGCCACGGCGCGCAGGAAGTCCCGCCTTCGCCGCGGAGGACGTCCCACGTGCGCCGCGTTCTGCACCACGCTGGGGGCGGGCACAGGATGAGGCTCCGCCTCTCGGGCTGAGCGTGGGAACGGCTGGCGGGGGGTGGTGGGCACCGCCGACGTGCGCAGCGCCAGCGCCAGGGTCGGGGGAGGTGTCTGCGCCGACCGCTGTGGCGGCCGGGAGGACAAAGGTCGTTTCTGCACGGGCCCCCGTCCCCGCAACAGTTCCTTGGCTTTTGACATTTTGCTTTTCTCGAGGGAAGGTGGTCGTGGCTCAGGGAGGAAAGACCGGGCTTTGGAAACAGTCAGCCAGGGGGGAGTTTGAGCGCGATTCTAGCGCTTCGTTCATTAACTTCCCCGAGCCTCAGGTTCTCGCCCTAAGATGCGGGTAATACCTAGTGCACAGTGCCTGCTGCGTTAGAGCAAACAAACAGTGCCGATTAATATTATTTTATCATCATAATCATTATCAGCAATACTTGCCCTGTTAGTATCGCAGGGGTTCACTAATAACCTAGTATAAACCACTCGAAGTGTAAGCGGCTTTTTTTTTTTCCTGGAGTAACATGGCAAAATGTGGCAAGAGCCCTAAAAGGGGCATACTTTAGTCCTAGAATTTTCACTTCTGGGAATTTATTCCAAGGAAAAACAGATGTAAACTGAATGCTCACTGCAGAATTATTTTAAGAAGTGAAAACTGGAAACAAATGCCTAGTAAGAGGAAATGGCTAAGTCAATTAGGCTAAATTAATAGCGTGGACATTGTTACCATGACAGTCTTGTACTATAGAAGAATCATATAGTACGGAAGACTATTAACTTTAACAAAGTCGTACTAGATGCCTACTATTTTCAAGTATTATTTTATATATCTGCATTGTCCATTGCACCACTCAACACACGTGGCTGTTCACAGCTTGAACTGTGGTAGCTGAATTGAGATGTGCTGTAAGGGTAACTTACACAGAGGGTTTTGAAGATCTCATTTTTTAATATTGAGAGTATGTTAGGGAAGGACTATTTAGATAAAATATAAGATTAAAATTAATTTCAGCTTTATCTTTTCACTTCATTTAACATGGCTAGTAGAACATTTAAAATGATGTATGTACAATGCATTATATATTCTCCAATACACATACATATGTCTATCGGACAGTGTTATTCTATTTACCGGATATACAGTGGTGAACAAGACAGTTTTTGACCTCATAAAATTAACACTGTTGAATAGAGCATAGACAATAAACATAATGTAATTGTACATCATGGTAAGATATATGAAGAAAATCTAGCAGAGTAAGGGCCAGAAAGTGTTTATATATTGAGGGAGATATTATTATTATCATTATTATTATTATATCTTTATTGATTTCAGAGAGAGGAACAGAGAGTGAGAGAGAGAGATAGAAACATCAATGATGAGAGAGTCACTGGCGGCTGCCTCCTGCACACCCTGACTGGGGATGAGCCCGCAACCCCCGACAAGTGCCCTGACTGGGAATAGAACCCGGATCTCCTGGATCCTAGGTTGATGCTCAACTGCTGAGCCCCGCCTGGCCGGGAGAGGGAGCTTATTTTAGACAAGGTTCTTCCTCTACTCTTTAGAAAATGGATGTGGGATGAAATGAGATATCTATGGATAGAATGGAGGTAGGGAATGGTAGTAATGTGATGTCTCCTGGGAAAAGTCAGGTATGGGTTGAGGGTGATAAATCAGTTGGGGCCTGGCAAAATCTCTGCCTTATGGAAGAAACTGCATCATGGGAGGAAAGAAAGAGAGAAAAAGAGGGGTAAGATAGGAGGGAGAAGGAGCTGAAGGGCCCCCTGGGAAAGGCAGAGCCAAGCAGGCCTAGAGCAGATATGTTTCAGGTGGAGCAGTTACTGGAGTACTATGTACCATGGGCGTGTGTGTGTATTCTGGCTCTCTGCGTGGAGGCTGTTCAGAGTGGCAAGGTCGATCCACCAGGCCAGGCACTGATTCCACCTATCTTGTAGCTTCACGCTCCCTGGTCTGCTCCTTGGCCGAGATGGCACACCACTGTACCTTTAGCCAGTGGGAAGAGAGGTATGGGAAGCTTGGAAAGCCCCGTTTCTCTAACGTAGTGTTTCCCCACCTTGGCACAATTCAGCTTGGAGCTGGATAATTCTGTGTTTGGGCGCTCTCTTGTGCATTGTAGGATGCTTAACAGCATCTCTGGGCTCTACCTACTAGACGCTAGTAGCATTCCCCCAGTTGTGACAATTAAAAATGTCCCAGACAATGCCAAATGTCCCCTGGGGGCAAAGTCACCCCCACTTAAGAACCACTGCTTTAAATGTACTACCCAGAAGTCTCCAACAACACTTCTGCTTAAATCTCACTAATGGCCAGAGCTTCATCACTCAGCCATCCTGAGGGTAGTGGAGTCTTGGAATTGTTTGCTGGCCAGGTTCCCAGCTAAAAGTTAGTAAAAGAAGGCAAGCCCGGCTGGCGAGGCTCAGTGGTTGAGCATCGACCTAGGATCCAGGGGATCGCTGTTCGATTCCCGGTCAGGGCACATCATTGATGTTTCTCTCTCTCTCCCTCTCCCTTCCTCTCTCTGAAATCAATAAAGATATATTTTAAAAAAAAAAAAAAAGGCGGCAAGAAGCTAGCAAATTCTTCCACATCCTCGCTGCTACAGGGAGTGGAAGTTCTGTAGCTGATTGAGAAGGTGGCCCTGTTCTTTATATCTTCCAGGCTAAGTTTTAGTCATTAATCATTTTAATTCACTTGCATGGAAATATTGGTGGTGGGAAACACTAAGCATGAACAAGTGAAATCCCTTTTGAAAAGGATGGGCATTTTGTTACTCCAAAGAGCTGACCGGGGGAGTGAGAAACTGCATTCTGAAATGGAGGCTGGAGAAGGTTGGGTTTCACATGTGTTTTAGTGCCATCCTGTGGAAATGTATAAACTCTACCATTCGTTACCCTGTTGTCTGGTATTTTCTTTGATTTGTTTTAGGCATTAACCTCAAATTAGTAATAACCTTTACAAGGATTTTAGCAAGACTTTAAAAGGTCCTTACAGATGAACAATTCCTTAAAGCAGGGTTTCTCTAGAACACCATCTTGGTGTTAAAAAGCAGATATTGTTGACAGCATTACCTCTGATGATTGGAAGTGGGTAGGAAGATCTTTTACTTTGTATTCTATGCTCTTCTGTATTTTCTGCATTAATTTTTATTTTGAATACAATTAATTATAATAAATTAATAAAACTTTTAAAAGACACCCTCAAAAAACTAAAAATAAATAAAGCAGGGTTTCTCACCATCAGCACTATGACATTTGGGGCTACATAATTCGTTGTGGGGGCTGCCCTGTGCATTGTAGGAAGTTTAGCAAAAATTGCCAAATCTCCCTTGGGCAGGGAGGCAAAATTGGTTCCAGTTGAGAATCATTCCTTTTAACAGAGCACCTAAAAATTCCACGGTATATTAAGACCATCTGCCACAGTAATTTCGTAACAGTGTGTCCTGAGGGTGGGAGAGGCCTGTCTGGGAGGGGCAGGTAGTCAGGAGAAAATGAGGCTGCAGATGCAGCGTGACATGTCCTTTTTATGCTCTGGAGAACTCTGCTCCTGCTTGTCCCAGCAGCTGGTGACCAGACTGACTGAGGGGTGCCAAAGGGCCGATGAGAGGGTGCGGCGTTTCTTTAAAGAGGCCATTACCCAGAGCGGGAAGTAGCACAGGACAAGCCCATACTGTGACACCGGGCCCCCAAATTCCCTTCAGAGATGCGCAGGTGTGCACCATCCTGCCAGGTGTGGGAAGCCGTAGCTAATCCCATGGGGCTTCTTCGATCCCTCCGGCACCCCTCTGCTACCTGAGTGCCGTGGAGAAGCGGTTGGGAGCCAGTCCCCTCGCCTCCGTCACCGGTCCCTGTAGTGGGTGCGCACACTCCTGAGATGTGACTCTGAAACTGGGCAAAGGAAAGTCAATTTCCTAGGAGCATCCCCCAGTAGGCCCCCCTTCAGGGGTCTTCAATTTCCCGTGTCACCTTCCGAGCAAGCTCCTGTCCCAGCGCCCAGACACGATTTCAGAGCATGACCTCCCCTCCTACCGAAAAAATAAAGACCAGGTGCAGAGTTTCTCACTTCAGAATGTACCACCATCTGAACTCTGTACCCGCCGTGCATCTTGTTTAAGAAGAGGTCTCGGCTTCTGCCTAGGGCAATCCATTCTTGTATTCTTTGCATCCAAACCCACATCCTCACAGGCCCCTCGGCCCCTCAGCTATGAGCCTCTCTTAGATCAGCACCTCTCTCCTTTCCCAGCCTCTTTTCATCAGCATCAACCTTGCTTAGGCTCTCCGATCTTTGCAATAGTTTTGGTTGATTTTTCGTCTCCCACTCCTTCCAGTTCTATTTCTCAGCTTCTCTTTGTGGTCCTACTTCTGTAAAAAGGCCTACTTTGACTTTCTCCCCTTGTTTCCTGTCAGCCCATTGCCATTTCTCCTCTAGCACATCCACTGCGGCACAGCTAACTCACTGAGGCTCTCTGCTGACTTCTTCCTATGTACCATCTAGTATTATTTGGCCTCTCTGCAGTGTTTGTGAAGTGTTTGATACAATTGACCATGCTCTCTTTCTTTGCAATTAATATATTTTCCCTCCCCAAATTGCAAAAGTAACATATGTTTCATGCACAGAACAAAACACAGGAAGAAAAACAAGAACAAAAGCACAAATCTTGGAAAACACAGGCACTTCAGCACAAAGGAAAACAGGATTACTTTAAAATAATCACTCTTTATATTTAGTGTATGTCCTTCCAGGTTTGTTGTGTACTAATACATTTAAACACATACACACCACTCTCTTTCTTACACACGCACACATAAAACCAAATGGTTTCTTGTTGTAGATCCT